TTTTTTTTTTTTTTTAAAACTTGCAAAAAATAATTTCTCTTTGACATTTACATGATATTATGTTACGAGTCAAAGTAAACTATGACTGTCTTTAGAACAGAAGTTAGTCATATGAACTTGTAACAAAGGAAAATTAGTATACAGCTGCATACAATACCCATTTTTATAATTCGGGCAGGACGTATTTTAATGTGTTATGTTGACGTTCGTTACACTTGACATTATAAATGTGGACGCAACAAAATTTCACTTTTCTTTTTTCAATATCAGCTTTATTCGGTCTGCTCTCTGTCTCTATTACTCCATCTCTCTCGTCTTCTTAACTGAACAGAACTAGAAATTCCGCGCATGAGCACAAGGAGCATTTGAAAATTACGTCTTAGGCAATTCCAGAAACGAGTGTCGCACGTATTTAATAAATCGCCCATTTTTTCAAGATAAACCAATTTGAGTTATATTATTTTCAACCGCATCCTGCAAATAAATTGAAAAGTATATTTATATATATATATATATATATTTTTTTTTTTTCTTAAACGTGTATCCTGACTTCTCTTCGCGTTAAGGTAACATTCCCATAAGTATTATAAGCCAAAGAGACTCTTTTCTAGAAACAAATTATTACATTACCTTGGAACTAAATAAATATCCGCCAAAAAGGAATAATAACTGACATTTATTGTAATGAAATTATAGATTTTTTTAAGAAAAATGTTCGAATGTCGAATCAGTGGTATATGCATGCGCAGATTGCAATATCAAAGTCTCAGTGCATTTAAATTTAAATGTGTCAAATGTTTCGCAGCTTAAGTAAAAATAATTATAAAATACGAATTATTACATTATGTGATTATATATATATATAAATATATATATATATATATATATATATATATATATAAATATATATTACACGAGTAATATTATGAAGTCGTTGCTTTTATTTGATCTCAACTTATCGTTCCATAATATTATTAAACAAATATGAAATATTCAATAATATATGATTTGTATAATATGCACGTTAAAAATAAATATAGTTAAATAATAAACAACCATGATGTTTCTTTTTTATTAATTTTGGTTTTTAATTTATTAATTTAATGCAGAATTATTCAAATGTTACTTTAACGATGAACCTTTTCGTATTACGGAACATCGAACAAAGATAGTGCGACGTAGTAGAGAATGTTGATTCCAAAAATTATGTTATGAAAATTTGTTTTTTTTTTTTTGTTTTGTTTTCTACCAGACCCTACTACTTGGAAAAATGAATTCTGCTCGTTGATTTTCATGAGACTCGCGTTCCATTATTAGCAGCATCGTATATTGCATTCGATCCATCATATAAACTTAACAAATTTTATTTACGCCAAATTTCACCAGCAATTTTAGCATTTGCGCATGCGCTTATTAATATTATGTAATTCTGCAGAATATCTGAATATTTGTATTAAACAAAAAAATTGTGACGTTATTGCTATTTGTATGATGGTGATACCATACCTAACCATCCAAGTAATGTGCACATGGAGTTTCGTAGAGGCAAGCAAATATAGTTGCATGGTCTTTGAAAATAAGCTCCATTAAAATTATTTAATATTTGAGAAATTATTGATTTTTATCTAATTAAAAAATTGCCAATACTTTCTTCTTTTTTTTTCGGCCAAATTAATTTAAGTCTCTTGTGCAGAAAATGAAGGGGGGGGGGGAGGAATCAATATTCATATACCGATAATTAACTGTACACGAGCATCTTATTTATAATAAATAAAAAAAAAAATCTGCCTTTTTCGTGAAAAAATCACATACAAACTAAAGATAAATTTTATTGTTTCTTAAAACATTGTTGTATTTTATTCATTTAAGACTCGATAATTTTTTGTATAATAAATTTGCTGTACGATGATTCTTGAAGGCATTACAAAGGCTTTAGAAAATCAGATCAAAGATGAGAAAAATAGAAATATGATGTTCGGCCATTCGTTACGACTGCTTATAAATATGTGAAAATAAGCCTTAATGCTCGGCTAATTAATTTTTATATATTCGTATTGTTAACACAACGATCGATCCTTATATAAACGACATTTTTATATAATAAAACAACTTTTACAGCCGCACATTAAATAAGTGCATTTATTGTTTCTTCTCTTTTTCAAAATAGCCAGCATAAATGACCCCTCGAAGACCTTGTCACGTGACCGATGGCTTAAAATTCGCATAAATTTAATACTCGCAGTGCTGCACTTGTAATAAAGAAATAATGGCACCCTGATTGTCTACGGGTACAGCTGATGCTTTAGGATTTTGTCCAAAAACAAAAAACAACAACAACAACAACAAAAATAAATAAAAATAAAAAAAAAAAATAAAAAAAAAAAAAAAAAAAAAAGGTAAAGAAAAAATAAAGAAAGAATAAAAATTATAAAAATTGAATGGCTATAAGAAAGTCTTCTCGTGTATGTTTTTTTTTTTTTTTTAGTATGTGAATTTATGAAAAGGAAATGACTCCAAAATGCCTGTTGACATTAATCGCTTGACAGAGGGTTGGCTGGAACTTGAAAGTGATCCAGGTATAATAATACAATTATGCTTTCCGTTTTGTTTTTCTTTTTTCTTTTTTCTTTTTTTTTTTTTTTTTTTTTTAATAATGCAGCAAAAATCATTATAAAGAATATATTTTCTCTTATACTTAATATTTTTTAATAAATGAGTTTTGGCGATTAATTGTATTTAGGGTAAAATTGGAAATTTTCATTTGGTATTTAACGATATTGTTGTCGTTGTATTTCAGGATTATTTACACTGCTTTTAGAAGATTTTGGTGTCAAAGGAGTTCAAGTGGAAGAGATTTATGATCTTCAAAAATCACTCGAGGGTCCCGTTTATGGCTTTATATTTTTATTTCGCTGGATAGAAGAAAGGCGATCGAGGCGCAAAGTGGTGGAACAAGATGAGAGTTTTGTCAAAGATGAAGACATTGTTAATAATATATTTTTTGCGCAACAAGTAAGATACCCCCGAGCTTTATAAAATAGAAAAATTTTATACAGAGTGACTATAACTAAAGCGGATTGTTAATATTAATGAATCGATCGATGTAATTGCTTTTCAGCGATTGTAATGTCTTATTGCGTATACTTATTTAAAAAATGATCATTTAAAATGATTAGGTGAAAAAAGAATTAATTATAGCCATCGATCGTTACAGGTTGTTCCAAATAGTTGCGCGACGCACGCTTTACTGTCCGTGTTACTAAATTGTCCCAACATTCATCTTGGTACAACTTTATCTCGTCTAAAAGTTCACACGACTGGTATGTGTCCGGAGAATAAGGGCTGGGCAATTGGGAATACACCGGAGCTAGCGTGCGCCCATAATTCCCATGCGATGCCTCAAGCCAAAAGGAGACAGGATAAAAGTACAGCTGGTGTATCCACTGGTAGATTTACCGGTGAAGCTTTTCATTTCGTGAGTTACGTGCCCATAAATGGAAGACTTTTTGAATTGGACGGGCTAAAGCCTTACCCAATGGATCACGGGCCATGGAAAGAGCACGAGGAATGGACGGAGCAGTTCAGAAGAGTTATAACGGATCGTCTGGGCATTTCTACGGGGGAGCAGTTGCAGGATATAAGATTTAACTTAATGGCTGTTGTACCGGACCGTAGGTTGGCTATTTCTCATAAATTAACAATGTTGAAAACCAACAGACAAATAGTTCTGGAAGCCTTGCAGCAACTTGTTAAGCTAACTCATCAGAATAATTCTGAAAATCATAATAACAAAAATAATAATAGCAGTAGTAATAATACCGATAGTGAGAAAGCCGAGAAATTGAGTGAGAAGAAGGAAAAGGTGGAAGAGGAAAGCATTGCGATAAAAAATGAAACCGAAGGTACAAATTCAATACCTATTATAAGTGTGGAACGATGTAATGATTCGACGAATGAGAACGACGAGGCCTCGAATTCAAGTGTGAAGCCGTCGACGAGGTAAGAACGTCCATTCTTTAAAATCGGCTAGCATTAAAATATTAAGGTTTATTTGTTTAACTATTAATGAACACTCCAATGGCAATTCTTTCCGTTTAGTGGCATTGAAAAAGTAGTGAATGTCTGTGCACTGGACTACGCAACGCCTCTACAAATCCAAACTTCTCCTGCCCACAGTTCATCGAGTACGGATACTTCATCGGAAATAGGTTCTGCTTTTAATTCGCCTACCCAAGGTTAGAATAATCCTTATATCGTACGACTTACTATTATAACCTTGGAAAGTGTTTGATAAGGTGTTTATTATTATTATAGCTTGGGGCTGGAATTCGGGACAAATTAGTCCTACGTCGACGAAAGATTTTAAAAAATTTGTTGTGATTAGAGTAGCGGGAGATGAAAAGAATGAAAATGGACTGAGTATGCTTTACATATAATTAATATACTTCTCTATTAACATTCGCAATTGCGATTAAATTACAATTAAAAGCTCAAAGCCATTTGATGTTTATTAATTTTTATGTTCAGGTCGTTCTTTGGGTAATATCAATATTAATGGTAAAAGACTCGTCTCTGACAATACGCAGTTGAACAAAAAGGTTTGTTTGTCAGGCGAAGTTAGAATACCTCACGCTAGAGTAAAAACAAGCAACGGTGATACAGTTACGGAAGAGAAGAAAGTTGAAAAAATTGATCCTAAACTTTGCTCCAAATATCCAGAACTCTTTGAGCCACACACTTTTGCTCCAAAGGACCTACTGGCGCTGCTAAAGAATTTAGAGCATGAAATTGGGATTTGCGAAACGGCTTTGAAGGATGAAAATGATAAACGAAACAAATATAAGGTTAAGCGTTGCTTTTACTCGGTACCACTTAAAACATTTCCAACGAGGACAATTTAACGTGAGAATGTGAAAACTCTTTTTAGATCGACGACTGCAGAAGGACGCACAATTACGACGAATTTATATGTACATTTTTGTCGATGCTGGCGCAACAGGGAAAATTGGCCGAATTAGTGCAGCAACATTTGCAACTAAAGAAGCAGCCAACAGTTTCGGTCAACAGAGTACACAGGTATTTCATCGAATGTTGTTCGTTTGGCTTTGCGCGCGATGTGACAATGATGTTTTGCCCTGTTGCATCGAAGAAATGAGACTGATCGAAGCTTATAAGCCCATCGTACATCGATTGCACCTAGAAATAATATTAATTTAATTTCATGAGTAAGTGATTTTAACTTATCGTCATTCATTGCTGCTTTTCATTGCAGGAGTTCGAAGAAAGTGGACACCAATCGTACAACAGCTCCCCGAAGACGTCGTGGTAGAACAAAATGTAAAAGGCGAAAGTGAAAGTACCCACACTTTCGTATTGTAAGTCGATTCGTTATTGTAAGACCTAAAAAGTTCATAATTCTTGTAGATATTCTACAACAAAATGAGCACACATAGGCTTCCCTCAATCTCGTAATTCTTTGTTAATATTATATATCATTAGCTCCAAGAGTTTTTAATTGTAAAAAGTAATCACTTTATTATAGGATAATAATGAGCCATTAATTTAAGATTTGTTACTTTTAATATATGGATTTATTAAATTATTTATTAAAATTAAATATTTGATATACTATATATTCAAGTGCATTTTTGTATTGCTTGAGAGAAGAAGGATGTACACAATAAGGATGTGTATGATATTGTAATGTCTTATTTATTAAAAATTGTACTTTTTAATAGAACTTTATTAAATTTAAAATTTACCTATTATCTAATTAGTATTTTATTTTACAATTTATCGACACATCATAATTACAACAATACAATAATTACTTATTGTAAGTGAATGCGTTGCTGGATACAACAACAGATATTAAAAGGTATAAAAATAATGTATTTTGTGTAAAATCGTCGAAATAAATAAAATAATACGTCTTTGTATTGGTTATTATGTTAATATAATGGGCGGCTCAGCAGACGGTGGCAATTCATTTGTTTCTTGCGTTTCGATAATTTTAGTATCTATGACATTTCCATGCTCGTCGATCTCGTCGATCGATATTAAGATGTTCGGTATCGTAGGCATTGATTTTCCAGATTCTTTATTTTGATCGACAATTTTAGTCTCCTTAAAATTCAAGAAAAACCAAGTTGTATTTCAATTGTTATAAGATTATTATAAGCTGTCGAATTGGGAACTATTATTATTATTATTATTATTATTATTATTATTATTATTATTATTATTATTTTTTTTATTTATTTTTTTTTTATTTTCTTCCTTTTCTTCCTTTTATATTATAGATAATAAATAATTATAGCATAATAATACACAATATATAGTTATTCTAATGAATTCTTGAAATATTGAAAATTCATCCCTCTTAAAACCCTTTATTTCTAATCAAACCTTAAATTTAATTTGGATCAATTGTAATTAGCATGTATTAATTAATAAATATTACCTCTTCGTTAATAACAGATGAATCTTCGTCCTTGGTATTTCTATTAGGAACGTTGGATTCTTTATTAGCCGATGTATTTTCATCGATACTTTCGTATCTTATTGTCTGAAGCCTGTAGCAGCCATCGTCTTCGAGTATATACTGAAATCTCTTGTGACCGCTAAGCCATTGGAGATGATGTGCCTCTATCAGATGCCTTGTTAGCCTATAACTTTTTCGATATTTTATGGGGCATTCGTGGCAACAGTACCAACGAATTTCTAACTGATGCACTTTTTCTACGTGTCTAAAGATAACCAATAATACAAGAAAATAAATTTAATGTACTTTCTTCTTTTTCTCCTCTACGAAAGCCTTGAAAAGACTTTTAGAGGCATGCGATAACGTACTTTTAATAAAGTACAGAAAATAATTCAATTTGACTTAACTATTAAAATCTTAAAATCCATTTATTATTTATTTTTACCTGTCTAAAGTGTAGGCATTTTTACAAGAATATAAACAGCCCTCGACATTACAAACATAATTGGATCCAATGGAATGTAAGGTCATGTGTGAATCTAAATCTTGTTGTGATTTGGCGGCATGTGTACACATGGTGCAAGGAAAGTTCCGGGTTGTCGTATGTCTGTACAGCACGTGCTTTGCTAAACTAGACGGAGATTCACAACTCATGTCGCACATACTACATTTATAGTGAAATATATGATTTCTCATGTGTTCCCTCAATATACACTCGGTTGGATAAAATTTATTACAATGGGAGCATTGGAATCCTTGTACTGTAAATACAAATGACTATATGAATATTCAAATTCATAATATAACAAATTGTTAAATAAAACGTCGAAGTAGAGATAGGAAAAAGACGTCAGATTTGTTGGAGCAAATGAAACAATCTGTCACGGTTCGATAAATACAAATTGGAAAAATATACTTGAAATAAGAGACAATTGCTCTTGGCAATTGATTATTTAAATACATTTAGAGTATACGAAAGTATCGATTGCATTGCATTGTTCTATTTTTCTATTAAGAATCTCTAAATATTATTTGCTTACAAAATCCAAATGAATGAATGTATTTTCTATAAGAGCTTTGAACAGCAACGGTGCTTTCTCTAAGCACAAGGTATCGTTAAATATTGTTATTAAATAGTAAATTATTAACGCCTTATCTTTTCATAATATGATGTCAAGATATTAATTTTTATGGATTAACCTTCTAAAGGAATTTGTCGTTTGCAGTGATCGTGAAATTTCGTATTGGATGCAAAAGTAGAGCCACAGTCTGGACATGCGATAATTTTTTCTTTCGTATGAACTCTCATATGCTCTCTGAGCTTATATAAGCTGGGATATTTGCCTTTGCATCCTTTCCAAAGACATTGTACCCCACCTGCAACCTTGTTACCTCGAGGATTATTTTCAACGTGAGTCAACACATGGTAAAGGTAGAATTGATAATTGTTAAAACTTTTTCCACAGCAGTCTTCCCATTGACACTGATGGGGCGGCAACGAATCCAAAATATTCTTCCAGTCCGTGTCACGTCGACATTTCTACAAAATATTTTTTAAATAACATGAGATAAATAAGCTTACGTTGCGTGCCTTAAGAGAACTTAACTTAATGATTCTTCTAATAACTTAATGATGTACATAATTAGTTCTAATTTCGACGAGTGAATATATTCCTTTGTATTAACAAATTATAGGTGCAACGATCGTTTACGAATTGCATTGTAGAATTCTATCGTGATAATGATAAAATCAAAATCCCAAATAAGCTAAGGCAGTTATCCTTATAATTACAAAAAATATGTGTGTGAATGCAAGCAATGCGATTACGCTAATTTTCATAATTTGTTAGGCAACTTTCTTGACTGGCATCATGGTTGAAATTCTTAATTTCAGGGTTATTCTTAATCAAAATCTGATCCAATGATTATTACTGTAATCACAAAATTTTCACTTATTTCAAGTTCGAACTTATGCTCAAGCTTATAAGTATCATTGCGGCGTACAGCGGCATAATAATCAAATTTTGTTTGTCGATTGCAAGTTCGAACTTGTTGTTTACGTTTAAAACTTTGTCTACTCTTCATAAATACTAAAGCTCCCAATATCCAGATATTTCCATTATTTTTTATCCTTTTAAACAATTACTTTTCTATTCATACTGCGTAAAATTCGTATTCTTGTTTAATAATTTAAAAATAAAGCCATCATATTCGGTAATTCGAATATTTCTATATTAGCTCGTTGAAACGAACCTTGCAGCTAATTAGTCAAAGCTTTTGATTAAATTGATCGTTAAATTGAAAGAAATACCTTAAATTGAACTTAAATTGAAAATGATAAACGATAAGCGATAAGCCAAATTAATTATATTACTCACAGGGAGCTTTGTTCTTCCTCTCGTGTTCATTCCAATGCATTTTAATTTCGAATGAAAAGAATGATAGTTGACGTGACGCATAATTTCGACATCGATTGCACTTTCATAAACACAGCCAGACCATAAACAAGCGTAAACCTCCGTTTCATCCGTGATTTTTATGTCTAATTCGGTAATATGATTTGCAACGTGTTTAATAAATGAATCCAGTTAAATCTAATTTCTCAGTTTTTAGCTTTACGCCCAATTTCCTTCTCTTCCTACCGCATTCGGAAACTGAATCAAATTCGGAATCCGTATCGATAAATTCTTCGGATTCACTCTCCAGTTTACTTTTACTGCTGTTATCATTCGAAACCGAAATCTTCTTAACATTTTCAATCCAGTGACTGCATCTCTCTTGGGCATCTCTACTTGTCATAAGCTGCTCCACTGTTTCATTCATTGTTATTTCATTTGCTGTTTCAACGAATTCCCCGTGTCAACTGCAAAATTCATCAAAATTAGAGCACGTAAAGATAAAAATAAAGTCTCCGCCGCAGGACGATGTGTATTGAACGAAGTGTATTTGAACGAAATACTAAATTAGAGAGACATTAAGATGAAAATAAATAAATAAATAAATAAATAAACAAATAGACAGAACAAACATTTACATACGCTTTGAATGATTTACGCAATGTGAAGGTTAGAGAAATATTTATAGTATCGACTAAAAAAAATATGCTTCGATATATTTCATATTAAAATTACGTAATACATGGATACGATACCTACGGTTTTTCCAATACAGCCTACCTAAAGTTTTCAGAACCGCCAAAATTCTCTCCTACATCATCTCAATTTTCGCGAAAATATCAGACATCTTTTGATTGGTCGATATCCCGAGCATTGACCATTAACTTTAATCAGTTTCTTCTCGAGTTACGACATATCTTTTAATTCACAACAAATTCCTTACAATATTCAAAATGATATTTTCAAAGGGTAGGGTCATTATTATATTAAAAATTCAATTTATTATTGAAATATCCTTATCACAATGATATTAAGAGTAATTGAGAATAGTGTACTTTCTAAATATGGACGGATTGAACGATTAACCTCGTCGTTAACTACAATATTAATAAAAATAACTAACTTTCAATATTATTGATTGAAATTAAGTGCGACAAGTGAAATGTCAATGTATAATTTAACATTCTAATGGAATGAATAATTGATAGCCTGTAATTCAATGCCATTTCATTTCAATGCTTATGTCATTGTTATATAAAACTCTAGAATATTAATAGTATTTATTTCTATATTTAATATAATGAAAAACATTAGGTATTAATCATTTTATTTTCTTGTTTAACAGTACTTCCTGTCGTGCACATTGCAAAGAAAATAGTTACTACTTCGGTTAGAAATAAGTATTATTATGTCGTACCGTTTGACGATCCAGTAAATTACCCTTGGAAAGACGTTACGGAAAATGCAGTGTACAAATTTTTGATGCATCAACTGCTCCTATCGCTTGCCTTGGTGTTAACCAAAGTATTCAGGGAACCGGCGACTATTAATTATCCTTTTGAGAAAGGGCCGTTAAGTCCAAGATTTAGAGGAGAACATGCATTAAGAAGGTTTGAAAATCTTGATCGTAGATGAAAAATATTAAAAAATTACTTTATAAACAATGTGTTGACTGTAAATCATGTGAAAAATAGATAATATATTAACGAATTACGATTACGCAGATATCCATCCGGAGAAGAAAGATGTATCGCTTGCAAATTGTGCGAGGCTATTTGCCCTGCGCAGGCTATTACCATCGAAGCTGAAGAAAGAGCCGATGGATCTAGACGTACAACCAGATACGATATAGACATGACTAAATGTATCTATTGCGGTTTCTGTCAAGAGGCATGTCCCGTCGATGCTATAGTCGAGGTAATATTTCACTTTTACTACTATCTTACAACCTGGAATAAGCGCTATTTATTATATTAATTAAGTGGCACGATGTATCTATGTAGCTGAACAAAATTATTGTTTTTAATTCATGTAATTAGAAACAAATTTAAAGATAAAGTCAACTAATATTCAACCATTAAAATGTAATCTGTTATTTAAAGGGGCCGAACTTTGAATTTTCAACTGAAACACACGAAGAGCTGTTATATAATAAAGAAAAGTTGTTAAATAATGGAGATAAGTGGGAAGTGGAAATAGCCTCCAATTTACATGCAGATCATTTGTATAGATAAAATAACTCAACATAATACAATATAGATAATAGTAAATATGGTTCTAGTTTTATCCGACCACAGCTTAGAACACAAAAATCTATTAAAAAATTATTATGTTCAAATTATATGTAATGTACCTAAGTAAAAAATATATTGAAACGTTATAGTGTACTTCTTTTGCCCACGCGCGCGCACGCACACAGACACACACACACACACAAATGCACATATATATATATATATATATATATATATATATATATATATATATATATGCGTATGCATGCATGCATATGTATATCATTTGTAACAATAAAATATAATCATATGAAAATGTTAATGCACAAAAGAAAAATTTCTTAAATCCATCGTGTATATGTAGCATCGCTATTTTTATTAAAAAAAAAAAAAATTTTACTCGTACATTAAGAGAGTTAAATTTTTTAATATACTTTGCCGCTTTAAGCTACTACAAAAAAATACAAGGTTCTCATAATCATTAATATTTACGAATAATTAAAACATTTGATACATGTATGATTCAATTATTACTATATTATACAATGTGGTAATAGTTACATAGAATAATTAAAATAAGGTAATAGTAATAATGTAATAAAATGTCAACTGGATGAAAAAATACACTGGAATTTAATCTAAGCTCGATAACTTGGATTCTTTTATGCGTAAAGATTTTTTTTTTCTTTTTTTTTTTGAATAAATATTATTGTTTTCATAACATAAAACACGTACATCATAATTTATAATGATATGGACTATACACAACTATTTTAATCGTTTACTTCACAATTGAAAGAGCAATTGAACTCTATAATTAGTAATCAGATCTGTTATAATTATTAGAAATATAATCATTAAAGACTGACTGTAGGATTATTCTCCGCGCTTATATTTGATTCGACTGACTTGGATTAATTGTCAAACACTGAGCTTCAAGAGCTCTCAGTCTTTCTAACCTATGCATTGGATCCATCATGTTCTTTCCATCTTCCTTAGAAGCTCCTAATCTAGAACCATCTATAAGCGATTTAAAATTTTTCATTTAGTATATACTCTTTAATAGTAATAATTAAATGCGAGAATGATCTCATTACGTACCGATACCGTGCTGATTATTAGCTTGTCCCGATAGGCTATTTTGATGCTTTCTAATTTTGTCGATATCTTTGAGTCCGTCTTTTATAAAGTCTTGAAAGAATTTATGAGATTTTTCTAAAAATGGTTGCACATCTGCTTCCGGATGTTGCAATTTAAAATCGTATAATTGTACGAGTCCCTAAAACAAATGAAAGCATTGGAAACATTACTTTTTTTACTTCAACAATTTATTATGTCAGACAAACTGTGTGTGTGTGTGTGATATGATATTTACTTCTTGCTCGTGACATTTTGATCCTATTTTTTTAAATATTTCTGACAGCTGTTGCTGGGTAAATTTCGACATATGCTTCTGACCTTGTCCTTGATTGTTACTAGATTTTGATGATATTGTTTTAGTAGCAGCATTTACGTCGTCAGGTTTGAAAGTCTAATATACAAAGTAATAATGTCATATTTAAGAATTGTACATCGATTAAAGTTATGTGAGAGCTAACATCTCATAATAATCTATAAATAACAATTTAATAAAAATTTACAAAAACAAGAGAAAAAAATGAAAGAAAGAAAGAACGGGTGAGAGTAAATGCGTTAATCGTATTAACTAACCGTAATTAGTCTCATTAAATAGGAACGTAATTCTGACTCATTGGTATTATTAATTTGCGTTAAATGACTGAGTATTGTACTTCCTTTGACTCTGGTCATGCTGTGAAGTACTGTTTTAATAGTTCGCATTGGTGTGTCGGATTTCTTTTGTTTTTTCCACCATGACGTTGGATAATCCTATAGATAAATAAATATATTATAATAAACTCTCAAATTAATTATTCATAATGCAATGGGGACGATGGTTAAATTAATAAGCATATTTCGTTAATCGAATATTTACAATTAACATTAAATATTACTCGAAATTAATATACTCCGACTAACATAATAAGTTATATTTTCTGGCTAAATGGTTGAAAACCCTTTTCCCCCTAAAACATTGAATTCAACCTAATAATTAAATGTCTCTTACTTTAAAAAAGTTATGTACTTCCAAAAGAATCATATCATAATTTAAATCTCCTGCCCAATTGGGTATTGTTTTTACGATTTTCCATAAACATTTCATTATAAGCTCTTCGTACTTCGCTGGTCCATTAGAATCAGCACGCTCGTGCAATAGTTTTATAAGTCCACTGTAAGTAAAATGTAAGTTTTGTAAAAATTTATGCGGGAATAGTGTTAATTTTATACCGATAAAAATCAGGAGATGCAAAATTATTACCATATTATTGTAGTGTGATCCGAATTGTCAATAATTTTTAGAACAATTGTATTGATAACTCTGATATAAGCTTCTGCGTCGTTTAGGCGTTCGAGCTTATTCTCAACTAAAAATCCAATCATTTGATCGACAAGATCTTTAAGCTGTTGGAGTGGTACATTTTTTCCAAGCATACCGGTATCGTAGAACTGCTCCCAATTTAAATAAAAAATCCCAATTTAAATCAAAACTCAACTCGACTCGTGGCAACTTATTTTATAAATCTGTCGCGTCCCTACTCACCGTTAGTATAATCATAAAAGTAGTTCTGAAACCTTTCGACACTTGAGCATTTCCTTGGTGCAGCGGATAAGTTTGCAAAACCTTCAATTGCATATTTACAGAACTGATGAATTTATCCTCCTTGGATTGCAGCATCGATACTTGACACGATTTCAAAAACTGAAATTGAATTAATTCGCAAAATTATAATCACACGGCGATTACAAGATCTCAATTATAACAGATATAAGCGATACTAACAGATTCCATAGTATTCATCGATTGAATCGCCGTTGTAAGATCTAAGCTGGCCATTCCCAGAACGGTACGTTCCAAACTGTCCTCCTTGCCGAAACACGAATTTAGTGGAGCGATATTTTCAGAATTGGAGATTAATAGCTTTGGAGGCGATATCGGAATCACTCTGTCAACGTAATTCGTAAATATATATAATAAATTTGACTTGGTAGTTTATAATCATTAAAATTATTACCAACAATGCAAAACTTACTGCCTTGGATGAGTGGGATTTAACATTTCTACAGGCTCGTTTAAATCAACATTTGGCTCTAGAAGCTTTGGAACTCGGCATCTCACCGGGGCATTTGTTTCAATTTTTTGTAATAATTCCATATCTAATCCAAAGGGCCCCGACACTTTTATTTGCGTTTGTACAGGTATATTTCTGAAATTTTATATTTAATGAAAAATACAAGTAGTACGCGCAGCATTATTTAAGTCAAACACTCAACACTCAGCATACTTTTAACCCATTGAGCATACAATTTGTTATTGCTGTTGGAGGCGTTATTTGTTAATTTATAAAAATAAATTTTTTATGATTATGAAGTTTAAGAATTTTAATAATAAATTTTCAATTTTCTTTAAGGACACTAGTCGGTCGTATACCTTTCGTCCTTATCATTTTTAAATTAAGAATAGAAATTTTGATAAGTAAGACCCCGTACTCATCGAAATTCTTAAAATTATTGTTATCATAGGGAAGATAAAAGGATAAATATACTATATCGATTTTAAGTCTAATTAACTACGAAAATATTTTCCCTATCACTAACTTGGGCAACTCAAAACTTAAAATGTTACATTTTCTCGTATAAAGTATATAAACCGAAAAATTTTAACTATATCATAAAAATTTCATTTTTAATAAAAAATAAATCAGCACTATTTAATAACAATTTGATCGTATTTCTTTTTAATCGTTATACGTTTTGACAAACAAAAGCATATCTATAAAATAATGAAATAAAGTAATAAAAATTTCTTCTAATTACAAGAATAACTCCGTAAACCCCTTAACAATTAAATTATATCGAAAAATATAAAATATAAAACAACAGCATTTACATACACAATATCAAACAGTCAAAACAAAATCAATAACAAAAAAAAAAAAAAAAAAAAAAAAAAAAAATTATATACACCATTGTTTATTAATACTGCTGCAAAGATTTAAAGCATCGGTCACATTGGAAGTAATTTAATAATTATTTACAGAATCAAACATAACACAATAATCAATTCAGTTAATGAGCACACTCACTTAATAATAAGAACGTAAGAACAAGATAAATTTGTTTGTAAAGAATAGAATATTTTTCAATCGCACATAATGTTTATGGCAAGTGCGTTTACAATTGGTTAGTTAATAGATTCATAGGCATAAAGGACGATAAATCAATCATCTGCATTCATTAATAAACTGCCCGTTATCTACCCATCACCACATACAAAATTGACAGAACAAAAGAAAATGAAAACAAACGTTTCATGATTGCTAAGCTGAATTTTATCCGAAGAAATTTTCGAAAACGTTTCATGAAAATTAAACTCTTCTCTTAATTTCAAACTTTCATAGTCGCTTTTACTTTCACAAATAAAAGTCGTTTCCAGCTTTTTATTCGAGTCGTCTTCTGGTCTATCTACTTCATTATTTCTCCTAAATTCAATGATAAAATATAAAAATAATAAAATAATAAAAAATAAAAATTAACTGAATATCTGATTTAAATAAAATAATTTAAAATAATTTAAATAGTGATGAAATTATTGATCATCATTGATTTTATAAATAATTTACAATAATTCTCGAAAGCTAGATAATAAATAATAAGCTAGTAAATTTTACTAACTCATCATTTTCTTCTTCCATTTTTTGCTCTTCCTCGGGTTCATCGTCATAATTTGCTTCGTCCATATCATTCATGTCATTCGTAGAAATAGGCGCCTGCACCGGAGGAACTCTTATTTTCGCCGAAGAAGGCGCTGTTTTTGTCGGCCTATTCTTTGCTGCTCGCTTGATTCGTTCATCAAGTAAAGATTGGTCCTTCTCTGAGATCTTAAGTGACAATAGAATTAATCGAATTAGATAAATTCTTAATTGCAAATATTTAATTGTGTATAATTATAAAATATCGCTTAGACTATTTAAAAAAAAAAAAAAAAAAAAAAAAAAAAAAAAAAATCATCTACTTTATAT